AGTTTGGCCAGGGTCGGTTTTGCAACATGTGGCCTGGCGTTGTCATGATGGAAAAGAACTCCTTTGCGATTGGCCAAAATCGGACGTTTTTCATCAATTGCTTTCTTCAATTGGACCAATTGCTGACAATACTTGTTGGCAGTGAGCGTTTCTTCAGCTGGCAAGAGCTTAAAATAGATCACGTCTCGGATATCCCACCAAATGCACAGCAGTACCTTTATCAGATGCAATCCACCTTTCGACATCGGTTCCGCTCCTTCGTGTGCCTGTTTCCATGTTCTCTTGCGTTGAACATTGTTGTACAGGATCCATTTTTCATCACCAGTCACGAGCTGATCAAAAAAAGGTTCATTTTTGATCCGTCGAAGCAGAGAAATTGCTGTTGACATACGGTCCACTTTGTTTTGTTCACTCAACTGATGTGGCACCCATGTATCGAGCTTCAAAGTGTACCCAACCTTTTTTAAACGACGAAACGCAGTTGATTTGTTGACGTTCAATTCACTGGCAACCTCTTCCGTCGAAATACGTGAGGTTGATCTTCGAGGTTAAAATCTCCAGAACGAAATTTCGCGAACCATTTCTTTACTGTGCGGAGTGCTGGAGCACGGTCCAAATAAACTTCGCGAATATCTTTAGTTGCAGCGCCTACTGTTTTTCCTTTGCGGAATTCGTATAACATAATATGACGCATATGATCTTTTTCGTTGTCCATCTTCCATGCGTCTTTTCACTAAGCAACTCAAATCAAAATGAAGTTATTTTATGCTTGATTTACAGTTCGGACTGTCACCTTTCCAACGATATATAATATGTATATATTTCTTTCACGAGCGCCACTCTCAAACGATTCGAACGGCATCCATCGGAGTCGGGCACGAACTTATGCACTCATCAATACCACCAGTGGGTCTACATATGTATGTATGTAGTTTCGTTGAAACATCTTAAAAACTGAAGGGTGCAGTTAAGTCCATACGAACCGACCCGATCGGCATGATGTGCCACAAACTCTTCTCCTTGTGGTACTTACATTCCTTAGACTAAAATGAATATACCATATAAAGTACAAGACTGACGCTGGCATATAGAAGCCTCTCTTTCTTAGAAATTCTCCAAAGAGAACTTTACAAAAGAATAAAAAAAACGCTCGATTAAAATTTCATTTCCCACGTTGAACTCCATCGTGGTTTGCACACAGCGCCATCTATATCTGCTGCTCTTCTATGCCCGAAGAAATTAAAATTTCAATGCAATAAATATTTTATTATCATGAAATTAAATTGACAGCTTTATTTTTTCACATTTTTTTTTATTAATTACGCCATCCAAGCAAATCTTCGCTTGTTTCCAAGAATTGACGTAATTAATCTGCGTATTTACTTCATCTACCTCCTCCGCGTATGACGCAGCCTCCTTTGGTAGCGAGTATCACTTAAATTTTAATTAAATTCACAATTTTGGCAATTAAGCGCAAGTAAGCTTAGAAGCTTTCTCAATACCCAAATGGTTTACAAACATCCACACTCACCCCATGTCCAACTATCAACCACTCAATTACCTCAATTACCTGTGCCGCAGACGAGCGTTTCGTCTCATTGGCGGCTGCTTGCGTCATTACGCACTCTGGCAACCCTTCGATGGGGCTCATCTTTCTTACTTGGTTAATTTAGTAATTCGATATTTTTACAAAAGAAAACCATGAGCTTGGTAAAGAGCAAGTGAAGGTGGTAAGGGTAGCCTTGTCAGTGCAAGTTTTTCAATAATTACAAATTACCAATGTTTCCTCTCTCGTTCAGGAGAATGGCGCAAGTTAAAAAGAGAGGAAAAAGAGATAATCGAAGAGAATATGATATATTTTAACCGGAGTTTGCGAGATTGTCTTCGCTCTTTACTTGGCTAACTGTCACCAGGGAGAGAGATAAATCTATGATCGAAAACAGACCTTCCGAGACAGGGAAACAGCTCGTTAGCTTATACAAGATATTCAAGACAAAGAGAAGTAAAAACTAAATGATAGATTAAAGCTCAAAGAGAGTTCAAAAAGAGGAGATCCACTAAGAAAGTCCTACGTACAGTTGATCCGATTGAACTTTGGCAACCCTAAACATAGCGCATGAGTCTCTATGTAAACGAGGACTACACGAGATGTCCTAAGAATTAAAGTAATTAAAGAGAAACAGTCAACGCATACATACTTTAAGAAGTAAAGTCCTCTCTCGACGAACAAAGATCAAACCCTACTAGTCACTCATCATCCCTGTTCTACTACAATATATGGTTCTGAAGCATGGACATTGACAACATCTGTTCAATCGGCGTATTCCGGAGTTTTCGAGCTGCGCTTTAGCAGCGGCGAGCACAACAGACCATGAAACGCCGCGCTTTACGAGCAACTACGCTGGCTAGGTAACCTCGCCGGATGCTCCATCTCTGAAGCACTTGGTTGCACTGACGTCACCAGCTGGCACCAATCTGCGAGTAGAAGAAATAACTGCGCTGATTGAGAAGAATAATGAAAACAAAAACTAAAACCAACAACAAACCCAGTGTTGAAATCTAATGTAGAATCGTTCGCGTCCGGTTGTACGTTGCAGCAGCTTTGAGAGCCGACTTTAGGAGTTCTCTAGAAGAATCCAACTTTAAAAGATTACAATGCTGTACCCACTGGTAGAAGCAGGTGAAAGGATAGGACTGTAACCGGCTGGGAAAATCAACTGGAGAGGGACCTGGCGTCACTTAGTGTCTCTGAGTGACGAAAAAAGCAAAAATAAAAGTTACTGAGACGACGGAGTTACGCAATAAAAAATGAAGCAAATTTAGAGGCCATAAGAAGTTCAAAACGAAACGGCTCTGGCTTTTCATCGGACCTAAATGAACTTTGCTATCAGAGTTTGAAGACATAATAAACACACTCAACTAAAACGAACACAAAGAAAGATCCAAATACCTAAGGTGGACTCACAACCTCAAACCTCAACTAAGCGACGAGCCTTAAAGAAAGTCCAAGTCCAGCTCTACTGACGCCCAACTTATTGCACGAGTATTTGGAATCAGCTTCGATTTCAAAACTCTTGCGTTCGTATTTGACAGTGAAGATTCCGGAACGGTCGCTTTTATTTCAACCAGCTTTCGTGATCCCTCTAGCGCTCCATCCCAGGCAGATGCATCTCATTTCGAAATGCTTTTGTTGCTTTACAGATTTTTACTTTGAGATCAAATGCGTGCAAAGTGAAAAAAATACTAAAAAAAATAATAAAAAGAAGAAAACAACAAATTAGGGAAGAAATCACGCGCAAGTATGTTGGCGACAGCATGCCACCACTTACAGCTGCGGCAGCAAGAGCAGCAGCAGCAACAGAGCACCCTGCGCTACCTACATTGTTGTTATATTCGCGAATGCAACCGTGTGCTGCACACAAACTCAGCGGAAAACAACGATAAAATAACAAAAACAAAATCGAACACAACAACGGGCTTGTAATGTGTTTTGTTGTCGGTGTCGTTGTTGTAATTGTTATTGCATTTGTTATTGCGCGTCGCCTCGTGTCGGCTGTTGATTTAACGCAGTTTGGCAGCACCTGTCACTCGAGTGTCGCCGTTTTCGGTATTTATGCTTAATTGCAACGAAAGAACAACCGACGAGCTCAGGGAGTCTGCAGTCAGTGGCACAAGAAAGCGCAGCCATATAAACACATACATACATACGTGTACATGAATACAAATGCGTATATGAATGTATGTATGTATGTATGACTCAGTAGCATATAGACGATGCCGTGTGGAGGTAGATTGTAGGATCTTCTGGTCTCTGACTGATGTTTTCCTTGTTGTAGTTGTTGTTGCGTAGTGAGTTAGCGACACTCAAGGGGTTCCAACAAAGCAAGCTGCTGCTGGGACACTTGAGTTCTTCAATTCATTTGCATGCCTGTAGACAAATCATTGCAAGAGAAGACGCAACAACAATACACACACTCACACGCATACACATACACATACATATTTCATATAAATCCTATGATGTAAATTCATGCACGCCTTTGCGTACTGTGCAAGAGTCGCTAAAATCTCGTGTCTGCCGAGCTAAGACATTTGGCAACGTTGCCAGCAAACATTTGTCACACATCGAACGCACTGATCGCAGGCATAATGTGTGTGAACGGGCAGCAACCACATATCGAGGTTACTCATGGCGCAAGTACAGTGGGTTCGAAGAAAGCTGATTTCCGATTGAGTTGCTTTACTTTCCTAAAAGACAAATTGACAGCGATTCCTGCTTCCAACAAAAGCAGTGTCATAAGACTTTTCGCGATTTTCCGTTTCTAAAGACGGGCGGTAATACTCTGTGTTACTGCTTGTGCTTTAAGACTCAACAGCAGGTAGGTACCAAGTTGCGCATCTAGAACTCGGCTTCCAGGTCCTTTATATTTTCCACTGTAAACGCATTAAGTCAACTGCAGTTCTTACTCTTTCAAATACATATTTACAAGTACAGTATGTAAGTGTTTGTATTAGGGTGAATATGTAACCAAACAATGTTGACTGCGGTGTGCCTTCACTACGCAAACAACAAACTAAGCACCGCACAGGCAGGAAATGGGCAGACGTTAATTAAAAACGAATACATACTTACAATGTATGCGCAATCGAAGCAAATTCGTTTAATTATTAGACCCACTGACAAATGGGTTACAACAAGTATTAAAACATTTGATTGTGCCAAAATGAAAAAGAAATTAATTAATAGAGTTTAATTTTATTTTATATAATTTAATTTAATTTAATTTAATTTAATTTTATTTTATTTTATTTTATTTTATTTTATTTTATTTTATTTTATTTTATTTTATTTTATTTTATTTTATTTTATTTTATTTTATTTTATTTTATTTCATTTCATTTAATTTTTTTATTTTTTATTAATTTTGTATTATTTTATTTAAAGAAAAAAATATACATAATATTGCATTTATTTATTTAATACTAACGGCAAAATTTACCTCTAAGTGTGATGAACTAGTTATTGACTAAATTGTCGACAAAAGCAACTCTGTTTATGGCAATCACGGTACACGGCGCCGCACTTTCCATATGCGATTTTGAAGATGCACGAAAAATCTGAAATAATAAAAAAAATTAAAATTATTTTCCAAAAGAAGTTAATTTTTTTTTTTTGCAAAAGAAAAGCTATTAATAAAATTAAATAATTTTCGGAGCATTAAATTCTAAATTAATTAAGTTTAAACGAAGAGATCAGGTATACATATATATCTGACGCTCCAACTGTAAGCGAACCACTAAGCGGCTTGGCTTTAAGAGTATCTTAGCAGATTAACTGAAGAAAAACTCTAACTGGATTCCTGGCGAGAATAGTGGATTTCATAAATGTGTCTTATTGCGAAGAAGTATTGCCAAAGGAAAAGCTATTTGAAATAAAAGTGAAGTCGAGACTCTGAGAGTGTCCAACAATAATCTCTCAGTACTCATTCAAAGATGGACGGCTTATCTTTGATTAGGTTTGAATCATTACTTATCAAGCTGTTACTAGAAATAAGCGATGTGAACACATGTACGAGTACATATTGTACATCCACAAGGGAAAATGTAAGTATATAGATTTTGTGAACAGACGTCGTATGCCAAGGAGCTGGACCGCGCCCTCCACTTCCCACTGGCAATTCTCTGTGCCTCTTTCTTAGCACCACATATGTATGTACATACATATCTCCACCACCGCTATCAGCTTGCCACAAGACACCGTCTACGCATTTCATACAGACATATATACCAACACAAATACACACCGAACACCTATAAAGTTATAAAATAATTTCTTCCCCTCAACATAATTACTACCACATACTGACGTTTCAGTGGGTGGCATATTACATGCTTCACTTACACGCATATACAGTGCCTGAGTGCTGGTGTGACAGGCCCCAAACGGCCATTGGGCCACTGAACTATTACATATAGACATGGTGCAGAGTCGAGCGGGCTGGAGGTGGGAAGAGGGAGGACAGATATGAATGTTGCAGCTTTCCCGGAGTTGCCAAGGTATCCATGGTATCCATAGTTGCAAGCTCCAACACCTACACACCGAACTAACTGTTGGCCGGGACTGTTGAGCCCGCCATATCTCTGGCTGTATACATATTAACAAACACACGCACGCACACGCTCCAAAGTGGAGATGGAGACTCGGACGACAGTGAAGTGAGGGAAAAAAAAAACAAAAAAAAAGTTCGTGTTTGTTTTGACTTTTTCCACATTTCCACCATTTGCGCTTTGCCATTATTTCCGCTTTTCAGTGTACGACTATATACGTACGCATATATACATATATATATATAAGTATAAATGTACTTGTGATCAACAACAAGACCAATATCTACAAAAACAATAGCAACGTCGTCCGCGCAGAAGAGGGCCAACAACAGCAGCTAAATGATTATGGCCGACAGTTGTCGTCGATAAATTTCATTTATTTCTCTTGTCATTTTCTATGGGTCTTTGGTTAGAACGCCTTAGTAGGACCTCTTGTTGATGTTGCTACTGTTGTTATTTTTGTTTTTTTGCTTATATGTACATATGTATTTATATCGTCTCCTCGCTGTGCCTTTTAGCTGTTCTCCTAAAACAAATTTGTCTGTCAATGAACGCCCACAAGAAGTCGGCCACTCAAAGCAACATTAATTTTAAATAAATGCGTACACTCATACGGACATACAGACGAAATACACACGAGTATGTACGCTGAAGTCGAAAATGCAAGTGATTGGGAAAAGTACTAGTTTAGTACTAGTATATTCTGACTCAAATTTAACTAGTCGGAAAAAAACCAACCAAGCAATTGGTACCAATTATCAAGCCGTTAATTTCAACTCTTTCAATTTTTATCTGGCCCAACAACAAGTACAAAAGTTTAAATATTTAATAAGTCATATTAAAAAAATATTAGAAAATTTATTTCATTAAGCACTTTTTACAAAACAAACTGCTTATTTCAGCTCAAAATTGTACTGGCAGATTTTTTGTCCATTTTGAACTGGTATACTACTGGTATATTTCTGCCAAAAAGCTGGCAATTTTCCATCGCTAACGACTCCTTTACTCATCTCATACTAGTGTACATACTAGTTCCAAATTGGCTTTTACGCAGCACTTTTAAATACGGGGTATGCTGGTCCACCGGTAAGTATGTGTAATCCCATTTGAGCGCATGCATGCATGCACGTTGTTGTCGTAAAGTTTATGAGCTCAAGATGAAGAGGACAATATTTTCTTATTTTTTATTTCTTCACTTTGAATTTCAATGCGCATTTACCTTGATATGTATTATGTATCTATTTACATAAACACATACTCGCTTATACATATCTACAGTCTCCTCCCATTTCAAATCACATTCCCATAAATGTTTGTTTCATAATCTCACATCCCTGACGTGGGTCTAAGGGAGGGAAGAAAATCGAATGCTGAAAATTTTATTAGCAGCGACTCGCCATTTTATTAACGGCAATGGATCATCAGCTGAAGGGATTGTCAAAAAAATGTACCAATTCTTCAGAAAAAAGAGCTGAGGTGGTTGTACCTCGTTTTTGTATCACTGTTTGTGTCCTAATCAGACACTGGCCACTAAGAGTCCCGCCAAAAAGGTGAATATTAGTTGGTGAGTGCTAGAGAAAATCTTTCGGTCATCAGCTTTACACGCAGGTCTGGGGTGTTCCGCCAACCAAACAGACTTGCAGCATTCATCAATAGCTGCCAGCTCATCAGAGATGCTTATTAAGCAGATAGCGAAAACTTCGCCTTGAAAAAGCTACACAAGACAGAAAGTCTGAGCCCACAGCCGATGGTGAGATTCCGGAAGAAGAGTAACACTCTCCCACTTCCAGAAAATATGACAAGCCCAGTCACCACCAGAAATAAGGAAGATAACTAAATGTTTTCTAGATCCTGATTCTCAGACGGTACAATCTGTACACTCATTCATCGCTCTTCGACGCTGTAGATAGAGAACACTTCTAGGCATATGTCTTGAACCGAGTTAATGACTGTTATATTTTCAGTATATGTATATGTGTACACATATTTCGTATGCAATAACCGAATGGTTAGCATTGCATACTGACATTCGGAAGGGCCGGTTTAGATTCCTGATCCGGCCAACAATTAAAAATTACAGAAATTTAATTTAAATAAAAAATTAAGTTAAATTTCCTAATTTCGATCGTTCTTCGGCAGGCGATGTCAAGTCCTCTGGGTGTATTTCTAGCATGACGGAGACAGCTTTTAGTAAGCTATCGGCTCCTCCATTTGTTGGAAAAGCACACACCACGCACACCACAAGTCGTTGAACGTGATTTAGCCACCTGATGAGTATTGCTTTCTTCCGAAAGAATTATTCTATGAAACATATTTACCATATACGCTAGCTTTCCAACGCCCCTATAGCCTTCTCATCAATATTTGGCCAAAAAAATAAGTTTCTATCTAGGCTAACTTTAAGAATTCCCTCAAATCTTCGAGTAGAGCCGAGACCTCAAGCAGTAGTTTCAATCAATACTTCAACCGCACTCCAACTCTCAGATTTTCTTCTTCAAGAACTTCATATATGTATGAATGTGAGCAGTGGAATATTGATTCGTGTTCCTAAACTGACGAAGGGAAAGCGATTTCGACGAGTTGGAGCAAATAACTTATCACCCCACCGCGGCCCCCACAACAATGACTGATTTGGTAACTCTTGGTAACTTGGTAACTCGATGAACAAAGGCCAAGCTCTACAAGTCTCCCAACATTCCCATCCTGATATAGGGTGCGGAAGCATAGACGATAACAATATCTGATGAGTCGCTGATGGGAGTTTTTGTGACGAAGATTTTGTGGACCACTGCGCGTTGACCACCACGAATACTGCAACCGATGGATAAGAATGCTCCAGCTTTGAAAGCTTTCTATGCGCATCCAACGCTGGAAGCAGAGAAGGAGGAAGACTCCACTTCATTGAACGGACCAGGTGGAAAAGGACCTGACTGCACTCGGTATTACCAAATAGCGGAGTGACAGTGAAAAGATGGAATGAACGGCAAACTGTGTGTTTAAATCGGCTATAATCGCGTAAGCGCTGCTTACGCCAGTAAAGAAGAAGGTGTAGAAGATTTTTCTTCTTTATTAGAATTTTCTTCTTTTTTTCAAAAGATCACGTCTCTCGTTTGGATTATTGGTGTTTAAGTAACACCGTGTGTATACAAACATACATGTTTAACAACATACATATATGCATCCTATTGTTTATTTGTATTTCTTTTCTTTCTTCATTTTCCATTTGACTTGTTGATGCAAAAGAAGAACGAGAAAAAACGAAAAAAAAAAGAAATTTTGAAAAATTCGCTTTTCGCTGGCACGATTCCAACTAAAGATATTCGAAAATTCTGAAAAACATTCACGAAATACAGCGCGGCTGTTGCAACAACAACAGCAAACGGTGGCAGAAAACCAAAAAAAGACAAAAAAAAACAGAAAAATAACGAAAAGAAAAAATGCGAAATGAAAAACAAAACCCACACAAAATACAAAATATAGGAAAATATACACATACGAGTACATATTATATATATATATATATATATATACGTACATACACGTACACACGAGTGTAATCGCTTCAGTGCGACCGAAAACCATTACCCGACACCGAGCACACAGTTAAATGAAGAATCTGCCGTCGATTTGACGCAGAAAATGTGCAATTCGAAGAGAAGCACGTAGGAAAATATAACGGTTTGATTCCCCTGTGGACCAGGCGATGCAAGCATCGTGGTGCCATTCGCGACACAACAAGCCCGACAAAGCCGGACGATCAGCGCGGGCCGTACGAGTGCCCGCACAAAAGCGCTGAAATGTCAACTGGTTGCCCGGCTTCCTCGACTCTTCTGCCCGCCGCCATTTTGAATTGAGTTTGAGTAGCGTTCGTTGGCGTTCTGTCGACTGGCATTTTCACGGATGGACAAAAGACATTTCTCAAACATTTTTCATAAATTTTTGAAAACATTTTTTTTACAATTTTTTTTTTTCTTTTTTTTGAAGAAAATTAATGACTGTTAAAAAGCATA